TCCAAGCATAAATCAGATGTAATGGAAGAGTAACAGAAGCTTCTAAAACAAAACTACTAGAAGGCGAAAATTAGAACAATGAAATGTAAAAGAAGCATTTACGCTCTTACATTTTGATGTTTTAATTTTCGCTTCCTAGAAATTTCGTTTACGCTTTTGTTACTTTCCCAATACATTCGACTTATACTTTGATATTTATTTTCATCAGGGATCTAGTAACTTGTGTGAATTATTTTATATATATATATATATATATATACTTTGTGTGTGTGTTTTGTACGTGTATGTATTATACACACACACACACATACAATTTGTATATTTTAATACATTACAATATATAGGTGTTTTTCAGCAAGAATACAGTGCAACACAGTAAATTATTTCATCTTTGTTTAATATCGGTAAATAACAAGAATATAATTATTGATTGCGTTACGCTATGTTCTTATTGGAAAATGCACTGTGTATATAATACATAACTTCATAAATAGGTATTTTCTTAAGAAAAGTCGTTGCTAAAGTATCGTTAATAAAGATATGAAAATTTGTATAAATATTGCATGGCTGAGACATTATATTAAGGATTATGTTGAATATAGATTAAATTGTACAGTAAAACTTATCAAATTTTTATTTTTTGATAGCATGAGAAAAAAGATCTTCTATTTCTGTTAACAACACGTTATAATGCTATGATCTTGGAATGTATCGGCGAGGGAGAGGATATAGAAATTATAACGAAAGCTCATGGAAATGTAGCAGATCGCATCGGAAAGGCGTCCGAGACTGGAATTAAAGCTGTTATTGATCCAAAAGCACGAGTAATCGGTCTTAGATTATATGATGGCCTCTTTAAAATTATACCTTTGGATAAAGATAATCCGGAATTGAAAGCATCTTCAATCCGCATGGACGAACAGCAAGTACAAGATGTTAATTTTCTCCACGGATGTGCTAATCCTACTTTAATTCTCATTCATCAAGATATCAATGGTAGACACGTAAAAACACATGAGATTAACTTGAGAGATAAAGAATTTGCCAAGATACCATGGAGGCAGGATAATGTAGAGCGAGAGGCTATGATGGTCATTCCTGTACCTTCTCCTATTTGTGGAGCAATTATAATAGGACAGGAAAGTATTCTGTATCATGATGGTACCACATATGTTGCAGTGGTGCCAGCAATTATAAAACAGAGCACTATCACTTGTTATGCCAAGGTAGATAATCAGGGATTGAGGTATTTATTGGGGGATATGGCTGGTCATTTATTTATGTTATTTTTGGAACAAGAAAAGAAGTCCGATGGATCGCAAGTGGTGAAAGACTTGAAAGTTGAGCTGTTAGGGGAAATCAGTATACCAGAATGTATAACTTATTTGGATAATGGAGTAATATATGTTGGTAGTCGCTTAGGTGATTCTCAATTGATAAAATTAATTACAAAGGCAGATGAAAATGGATCCTATTGTGTACCTATGGAGACGTTCACTAATTTGGCTCCTATTGTCGATATGGCTGTAGTAGACTTGGAGAGACAAGGCCAAGGGCAGATGGTTACATGCTCGGGTGCCTTTAAAGAAGGTTCTCTCAGGATTATTAGGAACGGCATAGGCATACAAGAACATGCGAGTATGGATCTGCCGGGAATTAAAGGTATGTGGGCTTTAAAGATTGGAGGTTCACATTTCGATAACACGTTGGTATTGTCATTCGTTGGGCAGACTAGGATCTTAACTTTAAATGGCGAAGAAGTCGAAGAAACGGATATTCCAGGTTTTGTTGCGGATGAACAAACATTTCATACGGGTAATGTTACCGATGATTTATTTATCCAAATAACTTCGACCTCTGTTAGACTAATCTCGCACGAGAGTAAAATAGTCGTCTCTGAGTGGGAGCCACAAAACAAAAGGACTATCAGTGTGGTAGCCTGTAATGGCACCCAAGTCCTTTGTGCAACAGGAAATGATCTATTCTACATCGAGATCATATGCAATCAGATTGTATCCAAAGGATTCGTTACCTTGCAACATGAAGTGGCATGCCTGGACATCTCCCCCTTGGATGGCATCAACGAGGCCAAGATTGTTGCTGTTGGACTTTGGACAGACATATCTGTTCGAATCTTAACTCTGCCCAATCTAGAGGAGATCAATAAAGAGCTTCTTGGGGGCGAGATTATACCCAGGTCCATTTTAATGACCTGCTTCGAGGGTAACACATACTTACTTTGCGCGCTAGGTGATGGCAGCATGTACTATTTTATTCTACATCGACAAAGCGGTATGCTCTCGGATAAAAAGAAGGTTACCTTAGGTACTCAACCTACTGTTCTCAGAACTTTCCGATCACTGTCCACAACAAATGTATTTGCGTGCTCGGATAGGCCCACTGTTATTTATTCTTCGAATCACAAGCTTGTTTTCAGCAATGTCAATCTCAAAGAAGTGAATCACATGTGCTCCCTGAATGCAGAATCTTACCCTGATAGTCTTGCATTGGCAACTGACAGCACCGTTACTATTGGTACAATCGACGAGATCCAAAAACTACACATAAGAACGGTTCCGCTCGGGGAATCTCCACGAAGAATCGCTTATCAAGAAAGTTCGCAGACCTTTGGCGTGATTACCATGCGTGTCGACGTACAGGAGAGCAGTGGCGTGAGCATTGTCAGGCATTCCGCTTCTACTCAGGCAGCATCCACATCCAGTAGCAGCCACGTTGTCTCGCACAACAAACCCAGTGGACACACGGCCAGTGAGATTGGTCAAGAGATTGAGGTTCACAATCTTCTCATCATTGATCAGCATACATTCGAGGTTCTACATGCACACACGCTGATGGCGACCGAATATGCGCTATCGTTGATCTCAACAAGACTGGGCGAGGATCCGACTTCTTATTTCGTGGTTGGGACCGCGTTTATAAATCCCGATGAGACTGAGCCCAAGATGGGCAGGATACTGCTGTATCATTGGAGCGAGGGCAAGTTCACGCAGGTTGCGGAAAAGGAGATCAAGGGTTCGTGCTATTCCTTGGTCGAATTTAATGGAAAACTCTTGGCGAGCATCAACAGTACTGTGAGATTATTTGAATGGACTGCGGAAAAGGAGCTCCGATTGGAATGCAGTCATTTTAATAATATTATAGCACTATATTTGAAAACTAAAGGCGATTTTGTCCTTGTGGGAGATCTGATGAGATCCCTCACGTTGCTTCAATATAAGACTATGGAGGGCAGCTTTGAAGAAATAGCTAGAGACTACAATCCCAATTGGATGACTTCTATCGAGATATTAGACGATGATACTTTTCTGGGCGCTGAAAATTGCTTCAATCTCTTTGTATGTCAAAAGGACAGGTATGTTTGCAATAACATAGATTTCTGTGTATGTTTTTATTGTGAAATATAGTTTGCTCGAAACGAGTTTCGTTGTCAGCTCTTATGCTTTCACAATCTTTAATTTTCTTTTTCATCAATGTCTCTTTTAAAAACCGAAATATATATATGATAAAAATCCATCAATTATGAATCGATCGCTTTTATACAGAGCCACGCGTGATTCTTATTGGTATGGTTTTGATAAGATAATCTTAAATATGGACAATTGTTCTTTCTAGTGCTGCAACATCCGAAGATGAAAGACAACAGATGCAGGAAATAGGCCAATTTCATCTGGGTGATATGGTCAATGTGTTTCGGCATGGTTCGTTGGTGATGCAAAATTTGGGAGAATCAAGTACGCCGACTCTAGGTTGTGTGTTATTCGGCACTGTAAGCGGTGCGATCGGTCTGGTGACGCAAATACCAGTTACATTTTATGAATTCCTGCGTAACATGGAGGACAGATTAAACAGCGTGATAAAAAGCGTGGGCAAGATAGAACACAACTTCTGGAGAAGTTTTAATACGGAATTGAAGATTGAGCAGTGTGAAGGATTTATAGATGGCGACCTAATAGAAAGTTTCCTCGATTTGAACCACGATAAAATGGCAGAAGTCGCAATGGGTCTTATGGTAATTCAATTATGCGTTCTCTTATTGGGAATAATGACCTCAGGTGATTTTTACATCGGCAGAGAAAATGGAGTCAGTTATAGTACTTTACTAATAAATAATTCAATTATTTTTAGTTTTTTATTAACAAATATATATCTATTATCTATTTATTAAAAGTAAATCTATATATTAAAAATATAATAATCTTAAATACTAATATAAATCGTAGAACAATCAATAATATATAATATGTAATTAATGATAGTGACTTTTAATTGGGATGTAAAAATCACTCTAGGTAATCGTTTATGCAAAAAAATTTGGTAAACTATTCCTGAATTAATGATGTATGACTTGTGTATATGAGCATACTGAATTAATGATGTATGATTCGTGTATATGAGCATACTGAATTAATTTTCCTAAATATTTTAATACGCTATTTTTCCGTAGATCGACGATGGCAGCGGCATGAAGAAAGAAGCGACGGTAGACGATCTTGTAAAAATAGTGGAAGATCTTACAAGGATACATTAAATGTCGTATAAGTAAACAATATTTTAAATTCATTGAATGTACCTATAAGAATATTAGAAGATATACATAGAAAAGATTTTCAATCGATGATTTAAGCGGGAGCGAATGTTTATACGGTTACTTTTGTTATTGCTGATGCATGAAAGGAACGACATAAATTTTCTCTTATCTTCCGGGCCCTTTTTTCTATGTATAAAATTGTCTTTTTTTAGCACTTGTAACAATTGCGTGAGAATTTATTTTGACGATCAGCATTTGTTAATGCACGTCAACACCCGTTGCAGTATTTTTTTTAGAATTGATCGTATAACATAGAAGTAATATACGTTTAACATTCGTTAATGAATTATTTTCAAAGAATGCTCGAAGATTCTTGTAGAGTAATATCTTTGTATCTTTGTAAGATCGAGTGTAAATAAAATAAATGCATTTTAAGGTAATGTTCTCTCTTATCATGCGATGATTTATTAGCCTATTTATTAGCCTTGAGTGTAGCTCGCAGTGTTTCCGGATCGAATAGCCAGCTGCGTAAACTCTCTATCCCCTGACCCGTCATACCACTGGTTTCCAGCACGGTGATCTTCTGTGTTACTTCCTTTTGCAGACGTGCATATTGTAACATCAGCAAAGCTTCGTTTCTCATCTGACGATACGAAACATCCATCTTGTTCAAGATGAGTGCTACTTTCACATTCCGTAATCTCGGTTCCACGAGGAAAGAGTAAAGTAGTACGCCTGCAGCACTTATTTGACAAAGATTACTGGTATCCACTACGTAGATAATTTTATGAATCTAATAACGATAAAAAAATGCAATACTTTAAGTATATCATATGTTTATTAAGATGCGACTTTGTTTGTTTTACATAATATAGTACCTTATCAAAATAATGCTTCCAGATCGGTGCCATATTACCGCCAATTTCTTTAATCACCATATCGAATTCACCATTATCATTTTTTACAGTATATATATTTATTCCGTTGGTAGGCACAGTATGAGTCGCGTCGTCGATTTCGTCTCCTTGGAGACTTTTCATTAAAAGAGTTTTGCCTGATTTGAATGGTCCAATGCAGAGACACATTTCCTTTTGTATTTCAAGTTCTATTTTAAATACAAATTATTGTTAACTTTATGTTGTATTATTTTATGTATATCCTTACGATAAACATTAAAATAGAATAATTACAAGCACCTACCAACTAGCGTTGACTTGTCTTTCTTTTCGGCAATTTTAATTTTTAAATTATTGAGTCAGTTCATTTCGAGTATATGTTAACTATAAAGTAATACGTAACATAAGTTAATACGCGTTTATGAATTCGTCGTCCAATTAATAGATGTTTGCAGTTCTCTGAGACTTATATACAATAGGGACAATAGACTAATATTGATTTAACAGATTCGCTGCCAGAACGTCATATCTCTACCAACGAATTAAGAATGTGTAGTTGCAAAACTTGTTTAAAGGTAATTAAAAATGTTTCAGTTACGATACTCTATTCGAATTTTCTATCTAAACTGTTAAAAAGTCGAACATAATAAAATTTCTAATAATCAAAAGACACTATCTCGAATGTCAAGTCAATCATTCTATTTATATATTAACTATATATATATATATATATGTTTTTAAATTCAGGTATTTCTTTTCTATTTTATGATTGCAGTAATCAATATTACAATCAAATACCTCAATTGAAGATACAATTCTTATCATGGCCTATGGCTTTACGAAAATAGTATAGCATAAAAAATTTTCTGTTTGTGTGAGATATATATATATATACATCGCGCGCGTTCATAGACGAGTAAATAGGTATAGATGTGTAAATTTATTATAAATTAATTATATTTATACATTTATAATGTGAATGTGTATGTGTGTGTGTATGTATATATATATATACACACACCACATCCACACACACACACATATATATACCATTTTTCTAAATACAAGAAATATATAACAATTACTCTTACGATTTTATGCTTTTATTGCAAGTTTTAACAAAATTAAAAATTTGCTTTTCTATGACAATTACCTAAAACAGAAAAAAAAATCTATAAAATTTCTCTATATTATTCTATTTGAAAACTTTACACAAAAGAATTGATAATATCTCATCATACCATTTAAATATTGGCAGTAATTTCCTAACATTATGCATTCATTAGTTTTGTAGACAAATTAACACATATATGATTGTTATAATTCTGTATCGCTCGTTTGTTACAATAACGATATAAAATTGTAATTTTTTAATTTACTTATAAAAAAAAAGAAAGAAAACTTAAAAAAATGTATTTTTATTCTTCCACAATCAGTTATTACATTAAAATTGCATTTTTAAATTAATATTACAAAATTTTAATGATTCAAAATATTGAATTTATTTTCTGGAAAACTTTAGTTTTTTTCATCGTGTTATAGCAAATGAGCAATATAATAAATATTGTATACAATAAATTTACATACAATGAGAATTACATATGCACCCTTTGATAAAAAAAAATAGTATAAAACGTATAAGTCTAAACAAAAATGATTCCAACGTTTAGATCTGCGCGAAACTTTTTTTGTTAAAGAGAGTATAATAATAAATGATACAGTAATTGTATGTGTAGAATAATGAATTAAAAATGTTACAGCCTATCAATAAGTTTAAAATGTAGTAAATATAATGTTCTCTTTTTATGTAAATATGAACATAAACACACACATTAATCATTCATTAATTAATTTTATATTGATTTTCTAATTAGATTATAAATGGTTTGTTACATATTTTGTTTGGTACAATTCCTTATTTACATTCGCTAATGTCTAATGTAATAAAATAGAAGTTAAAGGATGGCAGAGTGTATTTGTTTCCATTAAAAACACTTGACAAAATATTGAATGAAATATGACATTCTCATCAATATAAACAAAATCTTATACGGACATAGCTTCTAGGAACAGAGCAACAAATCTTCGCAAAACACCAACAAACAAGATCATTTTTTTTAACAAAAAAAGCTTATATAAATCGTCATTTGCATGCATTCTCAACTATATGTATTTTTTTGCAACAGCCCATTAAAAAATTGACATGTGTTAACACAAAATTTGTTTTAAACGCGTGTATTAAAATGTCATATTTTCAAATGATTACAAAGTTAAGAAATCTTTCCAAACCTTTAGGTGTGTACAAAGCATACATAAAATAATTTCCATTATTGCATTAATTAAATCTAATTCTTTACAAGTCTGTACACTTTACATATTACAGATATGTAATCTTTTATATAGTTGATAACGAATAATTTTGGCGCCAGTACTTTTTCACTATAAATAGTTTTTACATACTGTCATATAGTACTGTAATAACTATAATTATTTTATTTAGCATCTTGTGCTTTATCTAGCATGTACTTATCAAATATATGATATAAATAAAAGCGACTCGCGGAAAATGTAATGATAATATAATACTATTTATAGTGAAAAAGTTAGAAAATATATGGATGTATATTATTAAGTCGTAACTTCAGTGTCACAAGTTCTCGCTCTACATATTTATATAATATTATCCGATCAATTGTGAGTTGTTAACTGATCACTTAATTAATTATGTTTAAAGTAGAGAATTCCTGAGCATGCTACGACATTGTTCAAAGTAAGGCACGCACTTGAGTTGGCATTTGCCACATATGCAAACGCTTGTCTTTACTTCCCGCTATAATCTGAAAGATAATGAAATTGAAAATTTCATTAGTATTTACTATTAGCATCAATGTCTTAATTTACATGTTTAACCAAAAAGTCATATAAAAATAGAGAAAATAATTATTGATACTTAATAAAAAATGTTCAAAGAGATAATACAAAAATATAAGGAAAGTTATTAAAAAATATTAACTTGCACATTGAATACGTACCTTATTATTTACAACTTCTATACTCAATAACATATTCCCTGGACCACGTATGCTATGTGTTAATTTGTGATTCTGTAAAGAGATTTATATTGAATATATATGCAAATATGCTGTAATGAACTGATTATAAATTGATGATTTAAAATATAAGAATGCAACACTTACACTTATGTCAAAAACATAAATATTGCCGTCGTAACAGCCCGCGAAGAGTAGTTGCTTATAAAGCTGCATACATACAATACCAACACCAGCCTCATATTGAGTTACTTGTTCACCCGTCTGGAATTATATTTAAAAAATGATGATACAATTCAATTTGTTTGAAAAAATTCAGAAAGCGCTATTGTCACTTGCCGTGAAATCGAAAACGTTTATAGATGTGCTGCTTGTACCACAATAGATCAAATTATCATGTCGCAATAAACTGTAAACAGTAGAATTATTCTGGGCACTAATCATACGAAGAAGCAAACCGGTCAATGCATCGCGTATATTTATCGGTTGATTTCGAGATGCTATAATGAGAATTCTTCTGGGGCCTTCGTTCGTCGCTTTAAGCGCAAGTACAGATTTCTCCGAGAACGGAATACTGTCTTCTTTAATAGCACCAGCCTGCAACAAGTTATATTCGTATGTATAAATATTTAACATATAAATATTAACTATATATTATATATAATTTTTTTTCGTATATAGATAAATTATTTTTTTCTTTCTTTTAAGTAATGTAAATTACTACTACTATACTATATCTACATGTTTAGAGATATACAGAAGAGAATGTGGTTTAAAAAAAATAACTCGCCTCGATATGGAAACGCGAGACATGTCCAGATTTTGTTCCAATAAAGATCATACCCCATGCTTGATCCATACACTGAATCGGACTCTTTGTTTGCGCCGGATTTCCTACTAATGCGCCAGTCTGCAAAGAAGCAGTGTTTTATTAGTTTTTTTTCCAATAAAATTATTTAATATTTAACCTACTAAAGCTTACTGTTATTTTGTAACAACGCAATGTGCCATCTAAGGAACCAGAATACATAAGATTTTTCTCAACTCCTGCATCCGACTTGTAGATATATAGACACGTAACTGCAGATTTGTGACCTTTATATATATTCAATATTCCATTAGACTTTTGACTATATCTATATATTTTGCCGTCTTCGCTTGCTGCTAAGAAAGAATTCTCAAAAATCTAAAATAAAAAAAAAAGATTATATTTAGCCTATCTTGTATAGAAAATAATCATTTATTAAATTAATACCTTTAAGTCCAAAATAGGGCCTTTATGGACCGTGTATTGCGTTCTCGCAGATTCATCCTCGTTGCTCTCTGCTATATGTAAAACAGGTTCCTGAACAAGATCCTTCTCGCTACTTTCCGTGGTTGATTTCTCTTCTAAGATTTCAATCTCGAATTTTTCTTTATCGCAGGATTTGGCCGGGTCAAAGAAACTTTTGCTCGAAGCTGCAGTAGGAATTATTTCCGCATTGTGATCGCATGTGGTGTGCTGCATACACGACGAATCGCTCGGTGCAGAAGGATTGATGACAATTATTCCAAGTCTGTCCAGAACTTTGGGATTAATATACTTATAAAGAATGGATTTACAGTCGATCAATCTCACTTTGCAGTGTTTCATTTGCCAATCTGTGTGCTGTTTCCTCTTCTTCGCCACACTCCTGTTCTTCAAAACTACAGATTCTGTAATCGTATCGAGATGTTTAGCTTGATTTTCGATCTTCGTTTCAGATTCAGTACTAACTTTCCGGCTATTCGTATTTTGCACTTTCTGTGAAACACGATTCTTCCTGACATTATTTACGACTCTTTCATCACGCTTTGTCCACGTTGGGGATTTGCTTCTGCTTCGCGCTGTTAAATCATTCTCGTGAAAAACGCTCGTCTCTCGTGAAGAAGGTCCGCTGCTGCTTGAATTAGTATCGGTTTCATTCATCTTACTAGACTTGATCTCATTGGAGTTTCTGGTGCTTCTTCGAATCGGTGTTGAAGTATCGTGTTTGCGACGAAGCTTCTGCGACGCACGTCTACTTGCTTTATTGGACGAGAAGGTAGAAGTCGACGTGTGTTCCAAACTGGGCATTTGTTCAACGAACACTTCGTCTTCTGATCTTTCGTTCATTAGATCAACTGGAACGGAACTGCTACTGCCTTGATCATTATTCAGGATTTTCTCAAATGTGCCGGATTTATTTTCGGGATTATTTTGCTCTTCTTTGGCGGTTTTAGTGGCATTCTCGACGTTTTGACAATCTTGTTTCACAGCAATCGTGTCGTTCGAGAGTTGCTCGGATTCAGTATCTGGTGGTTTTTTCTGTTTAGTATCTGTTTTTTCCAAGACATTTGAGTCACACTCTGTATCTATTATTGCTATCTTGTCGTTAGATTCAACGCTGTCATTAGATCGCTCGTTCTCAGTAATATCGGAGTTCGCAGTAATCAATTGCGGCGCAGATGGTGTATTACTTGCGCTATCGATCGCCTCTTGCTTTTCATTTGCGTTCACTGTACGTTTATCTTTCGCTTCATCTTCCTCATCCTTCTTGTCTTTCTCCATGGTCGAATTATCAGCTTGCGAGGTACTTTGTGAATTTTCATCCTTCTCTTCCAATCTTTCGGTGTGAGCCGGAAATACGTTTGTTGTAGAATTCTTATCCTTCTCTTCCAATCTCTCAGTTTGAGTTGAAAATGCGTTTGTTGTAGAATCGACCAAATCAGTGCCTACGACTTCCGTGCTGTCTTCCGTCTCTTTATTTTTCTGCAACAATCCCAGACTGAAATCATCTTTTATTAAAGTTTTGGGCACGGATACTTTAATATCAAAGTTACGCGAAGTAACATCATTGGAATTTTTCACACGGTCACGTTCGCAATCTGAGGAATGACTTTCCGCTTGAGTTTCTTCAGGAGTAATACTACTGTCAGGCTCCACGTTACGTTCACTGTGGAAAGGAACTTTGTCCTGACTTACGGCTTTAAAAACATGATTCGATCCATCAAGTACATCATTACTGTCTTGCTGCAATGCAATCTCTTCTGTACTTTCTTTCTCTCGACAAGGCCAATCCGAATTGGCGTTCGCTTCAGCGTCGACGAGAATTTGATGCTTATCGGACTGCAATACTGGAGAAACGTTGGACGTTGGTGGAGTATCATCAGAAGCTCGCACTTCTGATTGAGGTTCAAAAAGATTTTCCTCTTTGTTCTCTGCTACAGCGTTTATCGTCTCGTTTATGTTCTTCGTGATGTCTGGTTCAATGAGATTTTCTTTCCTCTGACTGAGCGTGTCGAGCAAGTCTCGTTGTTGCTGCAGCTTCTCGATGTATAACTGGTTCAGAGGCAAATTCTCTTCCTCACCCGTTAAGTTGTTAACCGTCCTCAAGATGTTGTCCAGTTGTTCCTTCTTTTTCTTTTGCACCATCGATTTCATCTTCTGCGACATAGCTAACTCTTTCTTAAGAGTCTCATTTAGCAAAGCGAGACCCGATGCTTTCTTATGTATCTCCGACGCGGTATTTTGCACCAGAGAATCCCATGTGCTGTCGTCAGTATATATAGACAAGGATTCCGGAGTGCTGTGCATATGCTTGTTCGACGGTTGAGAATTTACTTTTGCCACTTCGTTCGGTGGTGAAATATCATTTGACTTATCAGTATCAAAATGTTTTGCACGTTCGGTCTCGCCTTCGGTAGAGTCCCGACATTCTGAACGCTCATCCGCACTTTTATCCGTTGCGCTTTTATCTGAATCAATCGAGCGTTTCGAACTGATATTAGCCTCCTTGTCAGTCTTCCTTCTAGCGGTTTTGTCCTTTTGCGCTTTATTATTTTTTACGGCGTTCGATTTCTGAAAATTTTCAGATGTGTCAATAATACCATTTTTTATTTTTTTACTCGCGGAAGTCGAAACCTGCTCCTTTGTCACTTTGTTAAGATCCTCTTCTTCATCTCCTCCTTCGTATTTCTCTTGTCTGACTGTCCATTCTAGTCGTGGCTTCTTTTTCCATCTAATCACCGGCGTTTTCGACCTAGGCATGTAACTCGTATTCTCATTATCTTGCGAAGATAAAGCTCTCTTTCTGCTCTTAATCAGCTTCGGCGACTTCGACGGAGACACGTGTCTGTCTTGTTTAGCATGATTTATTTCACTATTCTGTGACGTTGACGGCATTTCAGACTGATCGGGAACAGTATTATTTTCTGCCGTTCTTAACACCACACTGTCATTTATCATAGATTTTTCACTTGACGGAACATTACTTCGTAATAATTCGTGCAACTTTAGTTTCTCCGTCACTAGCTTGTGAATCTCGAGATCAATTTCCAACATTCTAGCCAAAACAGCTTCTTTCGTGTTACCGACAATTTTTCCAGATCGTTCCATTTTCTTAAGTCTCTTCACCAAACTGTTCTTCCTCAGCGTTTCTTTAGATCGATACTTCATTTGCCGTTTATCTTTTAACCTATATAAAACTGAATCTTTATGTTTTTTCTGCTCTTCGTAATCTTTCTCTCTCATCTTCGCGGAAGTTTCTTGGCTTCTTTTTTCTTCATGAACTTTCTCTTTTATTTTCTCGGAATTTTCCTGGCTTCTCTTTTTCAACAGTTTATCCAATTCTTTCATCTTTAACAATTCGACAACCGGCTCACGTTGCATATTGTGAAGACGTTTCTCGATGTTAGTCGGAGATACTATGGACTTATCGTGATTAGCATTAACACCAACATCCTTACGGACCGATTCAACTAATTCACTACGTGTGCCATTGTGCGCCGGTATTTTGTTTACGTTTAGGTTAACCTGTACGGTTATATTGTCGTGAGCATTTTGCGTGACAGTCGTACTGTTATCAATCTCTGGCGTACTCGATTTTCGATTGTTTTGTTCCTCCACACGCCAAGTCGGCGTTTGGTAATTTATATCGATTTCGCTCTGTTGTGTTTTGTCTAACATTTCAAGTGCTACTTCTTTAGTCGTCGTCGGTACGTTACTTGAAGATTTTAAAAAGAGATTCGCGGCCTCCTTCAAAGCAGCTTTCGTTGGGACATTCAAAGTCCTCGGCGAATCGGTCGGCGAACACTCCATCGGTGACGGTCCCGCGAGCAAATTGTTTTCCGTTGACGAAATATGCTTCATGTCGAATTTACATCCCTCCGATTTCGATATCTCGCTGCGCGATAAATCTGCGCACGGTGCAATGATTGTCGTTTCCGGAATCACCGTCGGTATGATGTCGAATTCTGAGCTTTGTTGTTGATCAACAGAAAAATGCACGCATTCGTCGTCCTTGGTGTCGAACGTAGCAGTGCTTTGCAAAGGATCGTCCAAATAAAATATGTCGTTATCTAGATGCTCGTCGGAATCGAAGTCCGGCAATTTGTCGCAGGATGCTTTCTCTGCGGATATATTAGTTCCTAAGTAAATATGGTTGTCGAGATGTTCTGTGCAATCTCTTTGGCAATCCGGCAATCTCAATGCGTCATCCGAGATCGTTGCCTCTAACGCATCAGATAAACTGGGATCGGTTGTAGTTTTCAGCTTACTTATCAAATCTTTCGATCGAACTTCGCTCTGAATAATTTCTTCCTCGTTATCTAATAACATAGATTCTTTAATCACTAATCCCGCGCAAGACGTGTATCCTTCCTTGCTTATGGTCAACTGCCTGTCCGTCTCGTTACCTCTAACGATGTTGATATCGTTGACGTCATCGTGTAACATGGTCGTGACTATCTCGCTCGAGGATTTTCTTACATGCCCTTCTTCGTTTTCATCTGTCGTCATTGTCGTCAAATCGGATTTATCGCTCTTCTCATTCGTTATGCATTCTTTATCTGAAGAAAGTAAATTGTCATCAAAAGCGATATTAAAGTTCTCGTTGGCATTGATATTCGTATCGTTAGCGTAATCAGTACCAGGTTCTAGCGTTTCGTAATCCTGCCCTTCGATCTTCATATCCTTGCAATTGGCACTTGTCGTCGCATAATTCACGTCGAATAAGTTAGGCTGCTCGAAGTCCATCATAGTTTCCTGAAGAAAGCCTTTAAACGGACTACCTACGCTGTCAGAAGAAACAACGTTGTTCTCTATGCTTTGCCGTTCCTGAGAGTTTTCGTTCGAAGTTGACGACGACTCGGCGATCTTCTTACCCGGAGAATTATCCTTATTCGCACTCGCAGATTTATTTGTAGCTTCAAGGATATTTAATTTCGTATCGTTTTCCTTAATGCTGCTAGTTTCAATATTTACTAACAAATTTTGTTTATCTTGTTTATCGATACTATCTACTCGAGATACCGCATCCAATTCGGAAATGCTGCTATCACGATTAATTGTGCTCTCCGTTATCAGATCTCGATCTGATTTTTTTATTTGATTTTCATTCGTGTTATTCAATGAAAGTTTCATGTTTTTGATTGTATCAGATTGTTGAATCTCAGTTGAGATATCCTTGTTTATTTTTTCTATGCTATTTGAGATTTTACTTTCAGGAACTTTCGGGGCAATTTTAGAAGCTGTCGATACGTCGAGTTCAGGAGTGATGTTACGAATTTTTTTATGGCCTTTTTTATCCGCGATCTTAACACTTGTTGTATTCTTTGCACGCTTTATATTATGAGTTTCATCTCGCGTTGTCTTAGAAGAATGTTCGCGCGTATCAGTGCTTTCAATGTTACCTGCAGTTTTTTCAGCGTTTCCTCGTTCACGAATTTCTAAATTTAAAGAACGTTCTTTCTTAATAGTATTATGCGGTAATTCGTTACCATCGTTATCAGCGTTGCCAGAGGAAATTGTTGACGTTTTCACATTGCTAGTATTTACCTTATTTTGAGAACTTATCGACTGTACTCCTTTAATTTTTACTTTGTTCATGTCACTAATATTATTGATCTTTTTTTCTTTCTCTTCCGTGTTTGTTGTCACTTCCAAAGGAAAATATATTTTTGTTGAAATTAAATTATCAGGTTTTGATATTGTCGCAGACTTCTTTTTTGCTTTTTGTTCTTTTGCCATTTCTTTCTTCAGCTTCAATTCTTTACTACCTTCCGATCGAATATTTTTAAATCGTTTAGGATCAGACGCAACTTTGCTTTGTAATGTCTTATCTGTTGCAGTGTTCTTAACTTCTGAGCATTTCTTTGTTTTAGACGCTACACTCTTAGATGTCGTTACAATGTTGGGCAATACATTGACACTGCTAGTAGCAAGCGATACTTTATCTTTTGATTTAATCTGATTACTTTTTTGAACGACGCTATCATTATTGACGGTACGATTTGAATTTTCTTCATAACGTTTCGGTGCTAATCGTGGATCTTGAATGGAGCTGCTCGATGTAGATATTAATGTAAATTTATTTACCGCAATTTCTGGCTCTATACTTTTCGGTGTAATTAAATTTTGTGTTGATGTCGTAGGATTTTCTGTAGGCTTCTTCGGTTCCAATTTCTCATTCATACGACGTTGTATGGTGCGCTCGTAATACGTCTTTATGTTGATCTTTTTGCTGCCACCTTGCTTTGGACTCGCAGTACTCGCAGGCGGGACACTTGATACCAAAGATGCTGACATAGCAGCTGTTGATGCCTTTGACGTATCGTTATCAGTAGCTGAGATTTTAGCTACTGGTTTACTGTCTTGTATTTTAATAGACGATTCGGTAAGAGTGTGTGCTGTTGTGTCCGATTGTTGCAATATCGCATTTTCATTAACGTCGCTGCTACATACCGATACATGTGCGATACTGCTTTGATCTATTACATTGTCATTTGTCGACAAAACAGCCTTATCTTGACTGCAGCTAGCGTCAGGTGTTTCACAGGTTTTATTTAGATCTTCCGTACATTCCGATAAACTCGCCGGATTAGGAGCATTCCAATTTTCCGGTACGCAAGTAAATACATTTAAGGGAACTTTGTTATCATTCATATCGGATGTTTCTGGCATCTGCTTCAGCTGCGCTTTAGTTTTCAATTGCGTAGGGGAACCTATCGGCAATCTCTCTTCAACATGTAGTTGCGTGGTATTAATAGATGTCAGCGGAATTTCTTGTGCTAAAGGAGATTCTACTCTATTCTGCGATGTGGAGAAGAAATGTGCTGTCTTATTTTCCATAGTTATGAGATGATTCGAAGCATTTATAAATTCAGCGTCTCTAGTATTCTCTTGACTAATGTCTAGTTCCTCTTTAACAATAACTTCTTGTACAATCTGATTTTCTATAACTTCCTTCTTAATTTCCTTTTCCGTCAGCAATCTATCAGTTGTTTCATTATCATCATTGTCTTTGTCTGAGGAGGAATTAGAGGAACTCATCTTTTCCTTGTTTTGTCTCTTCTTTTTTTTATAACGTGTTTTTCTCTGCTTTCGGCTCTTGGAGCTTCTATAAGTCTTCCGCGATTTTTTCGATTTCCGTTCTCGTTCAATCTCGGCATTTACCTCGTCTCTTATCGCTTCGTTCAATGACATTTGTTTGGCTACCTTCTCATTTTCTTTTATTGCTCTCAATAACTTTGTAACATTTGTGCTATCACTACTATTACTGCTGCTACTGCTACTAGTGCTGCTGCTACTACTGTCACTGTCCTGATTGACATCACATTCTAAATATTCTGTGGTATGTTTTCTATCGTCACTATGTCGTCTAGATTTTTTGTGCTTTTCCTTTTCCAAACTTCTGTGTCTTGTATTTAATTGTTGTTTTGAAGATTCAGACGAATAACGACGTCGTGGATAAACTTTTCCACCGCGTCCTCTACTTAATAAACCGCGTCCTCTCTTGGTAACAACAATCCTTTTTGGACTATCTATACAATTGGAAGGAATACAGACTGTCAAATCTGTTTGCATTCCATATCTTGCTTCCCATTCTTCTTTGGTAAGATTTCTATATGCATGTGGATCTTCTCGTTCCTTCCTTTTCCATCTATCGCATTTCTCGTCCCAGTGCGGGCTATTTTCCAGTCTGTGTGTTCTGTCATCTTCCATGAATGCTTCTTTCTCCATGATCCTCGAAATCGCACCAACATTGAATTTCTTTGTACTTTGTTGCTCCATACTGCAACGCTTACGTTCTTTTACTGCCGCAGGTGTTTGAATTTTCTTCGTTACTTCTGAAAATATATCATCCAAATCATGTTGTAGAGTCAACAAGCTGTTATTAACATTAGAAACGTTAGTTACAATAGGATTACAAGTGTCATCTTTTAAATTAAGATCATTATTTATAGTACTATGTACCGGTACATTTTTGTTAGATCCCGTTTTTACCGCATGACTTTTGCTTTTTACACATTCCTGACTAACATCATTCAACATTGTTGTTTTATTCGTGCATTCTGGGGTTTGGGTTATTACGGGATTGAACGTACGATTTGTATCTTCCAAATGACCATATTGACTGCTCGAAGCTGCTGCGGACTCGGCATGAATGTCTGGTTGCACGTCCAATTGTAGTACTTCATTCAAATGATGTATAAACTCTGTAGGTAGATCCCTAATGGATACGATTGCGTCGGTGTCCAACATCGCGTTTAATTGCTTCATAAATTCCTGTTGATCATATAGTTTCATCTTTTCGTCCTGTGCGTGTCTCATCTCCAAGGATAATGTAGGCTTTTTTTCTTTGACTAGACGCTTCATTATAATATCGAACTTTCGAAGACTAGTGTTATTCACCATGTTGTAGATATCGTTCTTACTCATCTTTAAGAATCGGGTAATAATCCTATTTTTCCACGAAGCATCCATTTTAAAATTCTTGTTCTTTTCTACACGGCTCCTGGAATTTGGCACGTTGACTTTCGGAAGTGAAACGTTAGAATGTTGAGATTTTTCTCTATGGACATCTTTTTGTGGTTTTTTATGACGCAATATAATATTTTGGTTTGCAATCTCGGATGATATTGCATTCTCAGAATTATTTTCTTTTTTCTTCAAATTCTTCTCTTCTTTTTTATGCTTTAATAACATATTTTCTAAATTCTTTTTAGTTATCGAAGGTGTTTTTGCTGCAGGTGATTTTTCTGGTTCTATGGGAGATGTTTTTGCTGGAGGTGGTTTTTCTAGTTCTATGAAAGGTATTTTTGTTGCAGATATTTTTTCTAGTTCTATGAAAGGTATTTTTGTTGCAGATATTGTTTCTGGTTCTATGAAAGGTATTTTTGTCGCAGATATTTTTTCTGGTTCTATGAAAGGTATTTTTGTTACAGATATTTTTTCTGGTTCTATGAAAGGTATTTTTGTTACAGATATTTTTTCTGGTTCTATGGAATGTGTCATTCCATTTTTTTTCTCGTTATTTTCTTTCCACGATGACTTGGTACTTACTACTTTCGCTTTATTATTCAAATTAAATACTACTTTAGGACGCTCTAATTCATTCATTAACGCGGTAGCATCCTTAGATTTCGCATTTGCATCTTGTATTGTTTCTTCCGATGATGGATAGTCTGTTGTACTTTGTTCCTCAGGTATTTTTTTCTTGCTACTCGTATCACTTTCTTTTATCTTTTTTTGTTTATTGGTTTTGGTTTTTGGCTTTCCTGGAGGCAGTGCTATAGACTCTACATCGCTAGCAGGATCAATTGAGGTACTGCTTTTGGAAAGAGATTTGTAACTTTTGGAACTTGATTTAGATTCTTCATCTGTCTTTCCTGTTATACTTGTCATTTCTATTGCAAATCTCATAGCTTCCTGCATGTCGTTTAAACCATCATCTTTGTTTACGCTGCAATGCAAACCAGAGGACGAAGAGAGCTCTGGTAAAGAAGATGAAGACACACAAGTGTTAAGAGGCGCTGCATGTACTTGAGGCAATGATGGAACGTGTGTATTGACAACAGGATTGCTGGGCAACATAGGAAACATTGGAGAAAAATTTACTGAATCGATATGAGATGGCATAAAAACATTACTTTGATTGACTATTTCTAATGGTAATTGTTGAGGCATAAATCCTCCATGTGTATTTAAGCCCGTGTGAACTTCCATATTATTATAGACGGCAGGTATTGGATTTTGAGCATTACTCCATGGAGGATTTGCATCTTCATGAGGCATTTTTGTCACGAGTAAACATTTCATATTTGGTGGTGGCTCAGTGGGATCGAATAATGGTAAATCAGGAATTGAATATGGAGGCAAAATACCCGATTGATCTTGTTTTAGTAATATTGGCGGTGGAGTGGTAGGATCAAAATCAATGGGCAACTCTTGCTCCGTATGTGGAGACAGTTTTGGTGGACCACTCTGAAAAGAATTTTCCTTCATTCTTGGCAATTGATTATTTAATGTGACATTACTTACTGGTGTATCAATTAATGGTGTTTGTGTCAATGTACAATTACTGCTATTTGAATTTTCTGCATGAACATGAGAATTTAAAGCACTTTCTTGAACTTGTAAATTTTCAAAAAGTTCCTCTTTGTCTTGCGATACGTCCTTCTGCAAATTGTCCTGATCCGTTGAATCAATTGGAAATGATACATCAGCTTGTAAATTTAGTGTTTCAGACTCATCTGGTTCTTTCGTAACATCTGTGGGATATATTTCGATTCCTTGTGAAATATCCTGTTGTTGATCATCTTGCTCTTGTGAAATATTAATCAGTGGTGTATCATACTGATACTGAAAGTCTGATTCTAGTAATTCATTTTCAATAATGTTATCTGTGTGTAGGTCTGGTTGTTCCAAATTCTGAAAATTATCAACTGGCTCTTGAAGCTCCCCCCAGTCCACTCCTTGTCCATTCTCAATCCATTCCTTGTCCACTTCCATGTATTGGTTATCATCTGGTATATCTTCTAGATTTGTCATTTGATCGTTAGGTATCATTAAATGAGTTTCATCTTTGTTCTCGTCTAATATCATTACGTCGCTATCTATATTATTAATAATATCTGTATTATTAATAATATCTGTATCATTAGTAATATCATATTCATTCTCAATATATTGTGTGTTATCAGGATTTATTTTTCCAATGTCCTTTAGATCATTGTACGTCAAATTGATCTCAGATGATTTGTATCCTACTGCAGGGATACGTCTCTGGTCATTATCCTCTGTATTGTCCTCAATAATGTTAGATGGTACATCTTCATTCCAAATATCTGGGATGTCATCGGTGTTAAAAGAAGAGAGTTTCTGCTTTAATCGATCCGCTGTTTCGATTATTTTCTGTTGCCGCTCCTCTTCTGAGCCGAGCAAAGGAAGTTGTGGCACAATTTCAATTGTATTGGTCTCCTGCATAATCGGCTCTTCCAATAACACCACGGGAGTCTCCTCGAAATTCGGAGGTGCAGGCAATCTATTAGGGGCAGGGAATCGTACGTCATAATTACAGAACCTCCTTCGCCTACCGTCTGCTCTAAAGGACGGGCTGCCACGTAACGGCGTATGGGGCTGAAAAAACATATTGTTCGGCTGCCAGGGCGCGCCGAATTGCGCGGGATGTCCTGGCCTCGGTGGAGGTGCTGCATGTCGGAAGGGTGGACGTGGAAATCGGGGCCTACCGAAGCGACGCGCGGCACGTGTACCCTGCGGGTAGCCCCTTCCTCGGCCGAAATTGCTGTAACTCATTCCACTCTTTAGCCTAACACCTCAATACAATTGCAACAAGAGTTCGCGTAAATACAACAACCTAGCACCGCACAATCTTTGGTAGTTTAACATGCCGTAGCAACGAGCATCTCTTCATCAAGATGCACGTTTATTGCACTACGCGTTGACGATTCTTGCCTCTTAAGTTCCACAATTCGTCTCTTCTGCAAGCTTGCGCACTCGGGATGTTAAAGATCATCGTGTCTCTACATATCCTCACGTCTCGCACGTATTTACCCTAGAGAACGATGTCGCTCTCGGACATCCCACCTAACCTCTCACGCTGCAAGGACCCACTGACTCTGACCGCTTCCCGATGAGGTTTTCGACTGCAAAGAAACACGTGCGATTAGACCTTGAAGGGTAAACATCGGGGATGATGACAGCGTTCACCGGCGCATTTCGCGCATCACGATATGACGCAATGGACAAACCTGCGGAGCTCACGCGTTCGCGTCAAACAATCAGATGTTTCGCGCTCCTTGGAGTTGCGTGAGTTGCGTCTCCAATCCTTATCTCTTTCTCTCTCTCTCCCTCTTTCTCTCCTGTTCCCTCTCCCTCGCGAGCTCCCTGCGACGATGTTATTTCCGTCGCGTGGCGACGTCGCGGAGGATCCCTTCCTTTCGGATGAATACCTTCCTCGGCGCCGTGGACCGTGGACTATGAACGGTCGATGATCTGACTCTCCTTGCCGTCGTTTAGACGAAATACGTAAGAACGCGTCACCCGATCGTTCACGGTACCACCGACGTAGGTAGCGATGAGACACCCGCCGTCGTACTGCGCGTACACAATGTACACATGCGCGCCGATATCGCGGTCAACTTGCTGATAGGTTCGCCACGCGATTTCATTACGCATAAAATCGGTCGAGACAGCGCGACACCCGGCGGTTTTGATATCATGACGTTATCCAATCGGCCGAGCGAACGAGGCATAATTCATGCTTGTGTCCATCTGTCCATGCCTGCTGCTCAGCTGCTGTACTGAGCACCGAGTGCATTTGCGTGGAGCGTTACTATTACGTTCTATGTGCGGGCGCTGTTTAAGCTGTCTTATCTATGAAAAAGAAAAAAAAAAGGAAGATAGGCATTTTGTTATATTATTTACGCATTCCCTCCTTTCCTCCTCGCGTTGTTGGTAAACCCCTTATAAATGTGCGCATACACAATCAATTTCCTCCATTCCAAGTCAGCTGTTTTTCCTTTAAATTAACATTCGCATATTCCCTCTTCGCCCCTCTGCGCTCGGCCGATTGCATTATGACCGAACCATACGCGCCGGTCTTTTGCCACTCGCGGGCATCGCATCGTTGCTCGCACTTGTCTAGCGACACGTGACCGCGAGTGGAACCGAACGAGAGAGCGAACGGGACAGGTGAAGTCTTTTAAAGGACTCTGCGTTAAATTAGATGGAAAATTGTCCCGGTGACACGAGTTGCTTTTCACACTCTGTAAAATTTTTAGAATGAATTGTCACTCGGAAGAGAGAAATCTCATTCTTAAAGATTGAGAATCGAGCTACTTTTTTTTCCAGCAAGTCTGCCTTAATTTTCATTCTTTAAAGTGAGATTCTGCTCCAGAAAATTTAGAGATCGTATATAATGTAGCTTATAACGCGGGTGGACAAAAAGATGTAGATATTTGGCTCAATAATGGATAGTTTTCAATTAGCGATAATATATCAAAGGTTTCACACCTTTGATATACCAAAAACTGTCTATTATTGAGCATCGTGCTCGTGACATATGTTCACCACATGAGCTGCATTATATGTGAAAACCAATTCATTTTACCTTGACCTAATTTTCCACATAATTATATTGGGTTCCGGTAAAACGAGTTGATTTTCACTTTTCACGTATATATATAACATAGCTTATAACGTGAACAAAAAGTGTCATAAACACTGGCTCAATAATGAGTTTTCCATACAGGGTGATTTATTTTAATCTTAACAGGCGAATATTTTAAAAAAATATACAATTTTACTAAAACAGATTCCAAAAAAACATTGTATGGCATAGGTGACGTATGATGACGTTCCCTTTTATATCATACAACTTTAATTTAGAATGTTCTTTTTTTAGTAAAATTGCATATTTTCGAAATATTTATCTAAGATTAAAATGAGTCCTGCCTGTAAAATTAGTGCGAGGTCCTTTGAAATGGAGTAAAGCACAACGGAGGAAAAGAGGAGAGGGTTGAGAGAAAACTTTAAAGTAAACGTAACGCGCGCGGAATCTCGGTAATTTTAAAATAGAAGTAATCTCTCTTGCGCGACTGTAATGGGCCTTCTACAATAAGCCATTAATCATAAATTAGAAGTCAGAAACTAAAAATTGACCAATCACAGTCGTCATTTTTGAACTTCTGACTTTTGATTTATGATTAATGGCTTATTGTAGAAGGCCTATAACTCTCGCTACGAGGAGCCTGTTACAAGAAAACCACGTAATACAAGTATGATTAATCGAGATTTACGAATGATTGATCGCCGTCCGATAAATGAAATGTCGCAATAACTTAATTGACCTTAATCCAATGATTTCATTATTTCAGTGATTGAAAAAATTATGCTTGTATATCATATTTATTCATACTTAGGCATTTGCAGTGTATTGATCGAGCTTGACAATACAATATAGATACAATTTTATCAGTTCGGGTAAATCGCTTAAATTTTTTAAGGTCATTCTGATATTCCTGCAGATAAACAATGTTAACAACAATAACATAAACATTAACGGAAGAATGAATAATTTCTCGCTGCAATTCATCACAATTTTATTGTGCAGTAAAATGTACATTCCGTTACGAAGGTGTGTACAATTATTATAATAGCAGAGATATCTTTGGACAACAAATTTCTGTGTGTGGCAGAAGAATAACATCTCTTGAACACGTTTGAACGCTGTACAGATATCGAAACAATGATTGCTGATTGCTGTACCGCATAAAATTGTTGAAGTTTGAAAAGTCGATAAGAGTAATGGAATTTGTGCTGAGAAAATTATATATTGTTTCGTATTAAAAATTACTTCCGTTTATATATAACTGAATGTATAGAACTTATATTTCATGAATTTCACTTCTTTCATATTGAAATTATACGACAAATGTTGAATAAGATACACAATTTTTTTTTAACAAACTGAGCTAGAGTTATTATACAATACGCGATTAATTATATAGAAAGATAATCGGATAAATATATATTTAGCTTTGCAGCTTTCTGTAGAAAACAATAAATATATATTAGTATATATATATATCGATTCTCTTTCTCTCTTTCGTTTAATATTAATATAGAATCGTTATATATTGTAAGATATTTTATATATATATATATATATATACACACATATATATAATATTTTACAATACTTATATCTTATTTTCTTTTAATTCTTGGAAATAAGTGCTTTTTTTGTAAATCTGGAGAAATGCTATAAGACAACTATATGTTATTCCGCGTAAATATTAATATATGTAAACATTTGCAATATCTTTACATAAAGAGATATACGTAAAACTTTATCTTTATACAAAAACAAGTCGGTGTGATTAAGAAGTTCAGGTATTCTGTTTTCAGTATTATTTTTAGGCTTATGTATTGAATATTTTTCCTTTTTGGAAAAAAAGAAAAATTATTCGTTCTCACCTCGGCGAAAGACTTGTTTATATATTTTTAATTATCTTTCTTATGCATTCATTAATCTGTTGCTCTGTCGATTAAACGCGCAACATAATCAAATATTTCGACAAAATTTTGAGATTAAGAATGATTTTTCTTTTAAAAAGTTAAATAATAGCACGATAATGATAGCGACATTAATGAAAATGTTTAATTAAGTACATTTAAATACAACCAGTAAAAGCATTTTTGCATTTAACGATATAATAAATGAATTTTATATATATATATATATATACTATGTGTATATATTCAAGTAATACATCATTAATAATGTAGCGACATAACGTGATATATATTCAGAATAATCTTAAATGACTTCGGAACCATTTTATATGCTTAACAATTTATATACAATACATATACATACACACAGAGCTTTCCTGGTCTATCTTATTATAAATTAGTGGAAAAATAATGCTGCTTTGGCCATGATCTGCGCATCAGTAATTATCAACTACATCTTCGTTGCTAATACCTACATTTTTGAATGTGTTTCATGGTAGTCTTCAAAATAGTCAAAAAATTGTAATTATACACAGAGTTTATCATCGCGAAGTGTATACCTCTAGAAAAATCTCATCTCGAATAATGCATCGATCGTTACCACAATATAATCCTTTATTATAGTCTGCCATTCATTAATAGTAATAGTAATAGATAACATTAATACTTTGATTATTATCACTGTATGAGAATAATTCATATAAAGCAAGTAGCTATTATTTAATAAATGGAATAAGTTTCCAACTTCCATTTTTTTCATGTCTTGATTTTTGCCAAATATATGTGGTAATTATTCGGCTTTGCACCATTATAAGAAATATTTAATTTATTTATTATAAAATATCAAACATTTTCGATTTTAATACAGAAATTAAGTGATTCGGCGATTGCATTTGCTATCTCTTCACATTATATCAAATAAAATGAAAGAAATTCTATTTGATGCTGAAATTCTATGCTGAGGGATCCATTATAAAGTGTATAAAAGTAGATGCGTTAATCGAATTATGTTCAAATGGAATGGCTCGGTAATTCACATACATTCACATATATGCATATATATGCATACATATGAATTATATCATAATATAAATATAAATTAAGAACAGGATGATATACGCATGGAATGTGTAACTTAAGTGGTTTTCTGAAAATGGCTATTTATCACTTTGTTTAAATTGTAATAAACATTGTTTACCTCAAATCAAGCTAACGGAATTGTCAAATTCACATCAGCTTCATATTTGGAATATGATTTTAATGTATAAGCTGACAAGCGTTATCGGGAATAACATCGTAAATTCTCTTGTATTTATCTTGCTAATTAATAATAAAATAGTTATATCATATTCTATGTATACTGTGTGACAAATAAGAAATTACAAAGGCCATATAGCAGTACCGCAGAGCATTCTGACAATGTTAGTATTTCTATGCTACATTTAATATGTTTCAAGAAATTTTAGTCCAGAATTATTATTCTAGCTATTCGAAAATACTAGGATAAATTAATCTTAAGAAAGTGCTGTACAATGTAAATAGCTGTCTTTCGACGTCGATAAGTCTATGAGAAGTATACCTAATTATATACCTCTATAATTTAATAAATTTATTATATATTTATACTTTCCAATAAATTAATATTCACGTTGCAACAAATAAACAACGATCTGTACATTCAATATAAAAATTAAACCTAAGGACGGAAAACAGAAAACGCTAATCAGATATTCAATTCCCACTGTGAATAAAGTATATCGATTGGCAAAAGTATCAAGTTGCCACAGGCATTGTTGTTAATTTTCACGCTATGCGCGAAATACTAACAGTGGAATACTCTATCGTATAATTATTCGTTATTCTATTTTTTTATCCGAATAGTTTCTTTAAAGTACAATGCTCGATGAGCCCAATTAGTTGTGCAGAGCATTTTTCTGAATACAAATAAAAAAACCTTTTATTTATATCTCGGACTGTCTGGCGGGGTTGGTTGAGTGTTAGCCTTCTGCTTTGGTCCAGTTTTAAAGGACATCTTTTTTACGGGTCTCGGTGAAATTCCGTGAAGCGCAGGACTCTCGGGAGTATCACTACTAA